TCTAATTCTTGCCTCTGTTTTGAAAAAATTGAATGAGCCGATGCTCAATCATTCGAGTTTGTGACTGTGCTAGGTGAAATAGTCACATTATATTATTACACTTTAACTTACCTGGAAATAACGAGCAACGAAGGCAACGACAAAAGAAAACAAGGTGGAAGCCAAACAACCTACGGCACTACCTTAGGCACTACGGCCACCATGACACACAACACAATCGAAAACTGGATCGGAGTAGGTGCGCACTCAGTGTATTGTTGTTTTTATTTTTTACGTTGATTAATAAAAGATGGAACTACACTGAGTGCGCACGTGCGCTCTAGCTCTGCCAATCGAAAACGCCATTAGAAACCGCCCGACTTCCGATTCCGACAAGGCTCGAATGCGAACAAATAACTTAGCGGGAAATATAGGACTGCATATTCCGTTGGTTAGGTTGATTGCATAATATATTGCATTTTTAACCCATCAGATTTCTTCAAAGGCTGTCATGCATTATGGTCATTGGATAATTTAGGAAATCATTTTTTATAGCGGTCGGGTTAAATTTATTACTAAAAGAATTAGAGGTAGGTTAGGGTGACTTGAATTAACGTTAGCCTAGAAAAGATCCACTGATCCAGTCCATTCATTATTATTGGGTATATCTGACCAAAATAATCCAGTCATGATATTAAAATTAAATAACCTTTTGTAATGCGTTTTCAAAAATTTTCAAGATACGTACGTCCGTAGTACGTACTCGCATGTACGTCCGTAGTGAAGTCCTACAATGTACGTAAATAGTACGTACATGGGGCACTTACCATGTATATGTATACTTTTGTACGTACATAGTACGTCCCTAATTGGTCCCGGGACGTACCGACGTAAAATGGACATAAAATGTACGTCCCTGGGACGAAGTGTGCTGTATGGGGAGATGGGCAAAGATTGAACGAGTCGTTCATTTGAACGAGTATTAAAAATGAATCGTGTGATTCGATTCATTGCTTAGAATACGGTCCGTTAAATTGAATCGTAGCCAGTACGCAGGGGCGGATACAGGAATTTATTTTAGGGGGGCCCAAAATGAAAAGCAATGTAGAATATGCTTTTTAGGGCGCCATTTTTAACCCAAAAGCCTAATATTTTACATAATTCATAGACTTTAGGGGGGGGGGGGCACGGGCCCTCTCCCCTGTATCCGCCACTGCCAGCACGGATCCATAAGATCGGAACAATGAGCCGTAAAAGAATCGTGAGAATTCGAATCGAACTCAAAATCAAAAAAAAAATTCAAAAAAATTGAAATTCAAATTGAAATTTCAAAAAATCGACTGAAATCTGACTTGAATGTTTTTGTGCCAAAAATTGAACAGAAACTGTTTTATCATGATTTTTTCGCAGAAAAAATTAATATTTTAATAATTTAAAAAAATTAAAATTTCCCAATTTATTATTTCAATCAAATAACTATCTACACAGATGTTTTTTTGTCAATAATGACATGTATTGACTATTTTCATTCTAATACAAACGGTTGCTTGTAGCGATTTTTACCAGGAGACATTTTATACGTAAAAAGCCACGGAAATTTATATTAATAATAATTAATAATAAATAATAAGATTATTAAATCAAATTTCTCATGTCAAAAAATTTCCAAACACCAATTTTCATCCAAATATTGACCTTACTTCAGAAATTATTTGGAAAAAATCGAAATAAAAATGAAACTTATACACCCTGTATCTCTGAAATTAAGCATTTTAGGACATACGAACATTTTTACTTATTCTTATTATTATCTGCAGAATATGCTGCCGAAGTTTCCGGAATAACAGTTCGGACCACACAAGACAAAGAATCCAATAAAAATATTTTCCAATGCAGTTATTTTATTTTACCGTCACGCAATAAATCAAAACAAAATTCAGGAATAAAGATTTAAATCACAAATCATTTTGAGAAAATTACTTAAATTTTTCAGTCTTAAGTCACCTTCCGGAAAATGACTTAAAATCAAATGACTTAAGTCATTAAAATGATTTAGATTAAAAAAAGACTTAAGTTTTCTGTACACTTGCAGCTCCGAATGTAGTCATATTATCCATATATTATGTTTTTAGTTGAAATTTTAAAAAAGTTTTTGGGTCGAAATATACCACTCCTAAAAATATTTGCACTTATTTAAGACTCACCCTGTATATAAGTATAAAAAGTTTGTTCCAATATAATTGCCATTTTGACAAATCTACGTACCAAATATCAAGTTGGTCATACACTTTACTCCTAGATCTTCAGCGGTAGTTCCCACAGTCACCTTCATAGTGATTGGATCGTAGTATATATAGGATGGAGTTAATCTCTCTCCATACTCATTTGGAATTATTTCTACATTTTTATTTCGGTAAATAGCAGCAGCTGAATGCGATGTGCCTAAATCAATCCCAATAACTGGTGCTTGTACCATCTATTAAAATTACATAATTTATTAGTTCACTGACATCACTACACGGTGTGTTACGTTAGAGTTAAGTCGGGACCCCATTACGCCACACGCCACCCCACGTCATGAAGATCTGTGCGTATGTTTTTCCATTTCTGTTCTAATACATAAAATCCTTAAGTGACTGACTCACTGATAAATAACGATCCTGCTCAAACCACTCAACGTAAGAAGCTCAATTTTGGCATACAGGTTGATTCTAGGGTGTAGAGGTTCGATAAGAAGGGATTTTTCGAAATTCCAGTTCCAAGGGGGTGAAATCACCCCTCAAATATTACAATATTTTTTAATTAAAAAACGGTCGTTTCCGAAAAAACGCTGAAACACGTATATTTTATTTTGTTTTTTTACATATTTTAAGATTTTTTAAAAAGGTGTACAGGGTGTTTCGAAAAATCTGGTCATTGATTAATCACGATCGTGCTTAAAGCGCTTGACGTAAAAAACTGATTTTTGGAAAACGGATTGACTTTAGGGTGTAGAGGTTCCATGGGAAGGAATTTTTCGAAATTCGAATTCTAAGGGGGTGAAACCACCCCTCAAATATTAGAATACCTATTTTTTATTTAAAAGCCGGTGAGTTTTTCGGAAAAACTTGTTTGTTGTTTTACATATTTTAAGATTTTTTATAAATTTATACAGGGTGTTTCATAAAATATGACCATTGAGTGAGTAATCACGATTCTGCTTAAACTGCTTGACGTTTAAAGCTGATTTTTGGCAAACGGATTGACTGTGGGGTGTAGAGTTTCGCTAAGGAGGGGTTTCTCGGGATGTCGCGGTAACAGCCAAATGGTTGACAAACATACCGCGGAAAAATTTTGTGCCGAATATGTATCATAAAGTGTGTGAACGCCATTTCCCAAAAGGTAGTATAATTCGAAAAATCTCCCAACGGGGTCCTAAAACAGGTAAGCTTCTTGAAGTAAGTTTGCAAAGACCTCACCTGAAGGAAAATGCCGTTCCTACTATTTTTTCAAATTGCCCGATATAGTAAATATTGTTTTATATTCTTAAGTACCTAATATTTAAAAAGATCGTACAAGATTTTGAAGACAGTTTTCTCCAAGTGTTTAATAAAAATACATTCTTTTCTAATTAAGTTTTGCAATATTTAATTCAACAACTTATTAATTTCTTTAAATGGATGTGGTGAACATTCTCCAGAAGTAATTGCAAAACTTATTCTTAGTCGCATATCAAATACCCTTATAAAGAATTACTCCGGTAAAAAAAACAATACTTTAGAAAAGAGGAGGCAAAGAAAATTAAACACCCTTGTGAAATAGAATCTATATACCTAATTAGACACACTTACCTATTTTGACAAATCTACCTACCTTTGACGACCGGAAAACCGCGCCTAATTTGCGACAATGAATAGAAAAAAGTATTTGGTTTGGTTAGTTTAGTTGGTTTAGTTACTTATTTTTGTTCTTTAACGACAGATGGGTGAAATTTTACTCTGCACTGTCAATACGAGTAGTGTGATAAATCATGTTTTCTACACCCTTTAGAAGATTAAAATGTTAATAGAAATGTAATTTAATTTTTAATAAATTCTTTTAAAATTGGTTAAAAATAATTTTTATTGTCAGGTCAATGCTTATATTGACTTTAAAAATAGCTTATTATAAGTCCAATTTTTGGAATAATCCCAAACAATAGTAACTATATAATTTATTAAATATTGTTCTCAACTACGAGTATTGCTTAATAATAGTTCGTAGGCATAACAAAAACTATTTACATACATCTAGAAAATAAACGGAAAACTTTAATAATGTTCAATCATAGTCAACTACTATTTTGTAAAAGTATGTATGTAAAATTATCCTTTATTACAATTTTTTTATAAATATTTCAAATCTGTACGTTAATTAGACTAACATCTATAAGGATTTTTTATTTAGAATTATGTTTAAAATATAGTAATTTCCTTTTTAATGCCTATATAATGATTAGAACGCTTGTATATATATTCCCACTAGTGATGACGTCACGCCGAAGCACTTTGTCTTTATCTTTTAGGAGTTATTGGCCAAACTCGACTCCGACATTTATCGCTAATAGCAATTAAAACAAAAACCGCATCAAGCCTGGATTTAAACGAAGTCATGGATACTTTTGCGAAATCTAAAGCTAGGAAAAAATTGTAAATATAATTGTTATTTAGTCAGTTGGTAGGCCCGACCTTTATATAATAAACCCTTGAATCCTCTCTATTTCGTTTTATTAGCCAAAGCTACACCAAGTATTAATGGAAATTTATGTTGTTACTGTTTAATATTTTTATTACCTGCCCTGCAGTGCACAAAAAAGAGCTTAAGTAGCTTAGCATTTTTAAAGTATTTGTATATTTCATATTTTTATTTGATAAAACCTAATCAGTTTACATAGCAGCCATTTTTTAATTTGCCCCAGGGCCCTTTGTTTCCTAGCTACGCCACTGGGTTGCGCATCTTCTTATTTCTTCAATCAACGCTAATATGCTCTTTATCATTTTCAGATGCCAAACGGATTATTGGTCGAAAATTTGACGACGTATACGTCCAAGAATTGAAAAACCGAAGCGAATACAAGTTCAGTATTGTCCGAGGTAAAGACGATAAAGCAGAATACGAGATAAAACAGGGCGATTTGATGGTGCGCAAATCGCCGGAACAGGTCAGTTCCGAAATACTCAAGTATCTTCGCAAATCAGCTTACGAGTACCTTGGAGCTGAAGTAACCGAAGCCGTTATCTCCATTCCAGCTTATTTCAGTAACGCTCAACGGGCAGCGACCAAAGCAGCAGCGGAATTGGCTGGACTGAGTGTGCTGAAGCTGGTCAGTGAACCTGTGGCAGGAGCCATATACTACACCAAAAAGAAGCGAATTAATAAAGGGACGTTTTTGGTGTTTGATATGGGAGGCGGAACTTTGGACGTATCCATTATAAAACTGAGGAAAACAATATTCGGTAAGGAAATATTTCAAGTGCTGAGCGTGGAAGGAGACACGTTTTTAGGCGGTAGAGACTACGATAACATATTAATAGATTATTTTACAACTAAAATAGCTGAGCAATTTAATGAAAGTTATGTAACCCCTAGGCTTATAAAGCGGTTACAAGAAACATGTGTTGCTCTCAAAAAGATATTATCTACAACAAAAAAACATGAAGTGACTTTATTGAGTATTCACAATGAGAATGACGACTTTACTGTATCCTTAACGCGAGATGAATTTAATCTGCTAACAGACAAATTAAGTAGTAGAGCTTTAAAATTAGTTGAAAAGTGTCTGACTGGAGTGGGACTGTCAAAGAGTGATATAAACTGGACTATTCTTGTCGGAGGAATGTCTAGAACTCCGATCATACGTGAGGAACTTTATGTTTTCTTTGACCAGAAAGAGCTCAAAACTGACTTGAATCCGGACGAAGCTGTCGCACTGGGTGCTGCGATACAAGCTTCGGCCTTGAAATATAAATCTAAAGAACTCGAGAGGTATATCGTTGCTGAGGTAACGCCTTTATCTCTAGGGATTGCAGTTTCACTTGGTTTAATGAACGTCGCAATTAAGAAGAATTCCCCTTTACCTGCAAAGGGACATTTAGAATTAGCGACATCACGAAATGACCAAAATAATGGCAAATTTAAAATTTTTGAAGGCGAAAGAAAGAATTGTGCTTTTAATAACCTTTTGGGAGAATTCACCATAAATAATTTACCCAAAGCAAAAGCTGGAGACGTACTATTTGAAGTAAATTTCCTTCTCAATGACGATGGAATTTTAGAAGTGGAAGCCCACGAAACGAGTACCAGACAAAGGAACAAATTAGTAGTTACGATGGAAAACTATAGCTTGTGCCAAAAGAAAATTTCCGCTATGATTGAAGATGCGGAAAAAAACCGCAAAGATGATGATTTATTTGAAAAATATATCAATACTTATGAAGGAATTTTGGACGTATATAACGCTGTACTTTATGGTATACATAATATATCTTCCGAAACAGATCGCAGTTATGTTAAGAAGAAATGTGAAGAATTAAAAATCACCTTAGATAAGTCTGATTCTAAGGGAATAGATAAATTAGTACATGTTTATGGATGTTTTCGGTCGGCTATCGAAGGGATAATTCGACAGGTAATTGAACTAAAATGGCCAGAATTTTCTTAATTTAAGCATTATATATACCGAGTGTTCCTCAGAAGTGGCTCACTCCTACAACTTTTTTATTTGGGCATTATTTTTCAGATAAATAAACGAGATTTGGTATGTTAGTATATGACGTAAATCAGGATTGATTGTCGTATTCAATTGTTTTCGGTCACTTTCTGTTTCACTCGAAATAACTACAACTTTTGATGTTTAAATTACACCCTCGATATTTTTTTACTGTATTCTTTGAATAAAAAGATTAAAGAAGGAATATAATGCTATCCATGTATTTATGCATGGTGGGCGGAAAAAGGGCCCTAGGGAGGGATTGACAGTTGTGTTTGACGATTCATTTGACACATTTGAATTTGATTTGAAATTTTGTGCATTTGTCAGTCTTTACCGAGCTTATTTTATGTAATTTATTATTTATTCTACTACTAATAGTTGTATAAAGGTAGTAAATCTAGATGGAAATTGTGACAGAACTTAAATTAACAGTGACACTATCGCGATTTATCGAAAAAGACTCTAAAATAGTTGGCTGCGTAGCGTGCGGTAGATCTCGGTCAAAAATCGAGTGAAATAATGGAACAACTTTTCGCTAGTAAGTGACTATAATATAATATACTGTATGATCGAAAAAAAAACGGCGTCAGCGATGACTATGAAATGAAGATCGCTGTCATTTTATATGTAAATTTATATGGGAACTTAAAACGACACTTTTTTCAATCAAATTCACACGCACGCCGTTTTTTTCGATCATACGGTACATACGTGTAGTATACCGATCATTTATGAAATTCACTTAAATTAAATATTTTTTCTTGCATTTTTGCTTTTATTTACTACTTGTCAAATATTAGATGTCAAAGAATTTAGATACGTCAATTTGACTTACCTGCTTCAGTAGCGTATCGGATGTTTATGTTAATAAATAATTATTAAAACTTATCTATTTGTATTAGACTGACGATCAGGTCGCAACGACTTGGCCGTCGGCTGGCCGGAGGCATTGAGTTTTTAGCTGCGGCCAGATGAACGACCAGTGTCAACAGAGTTGTCAGATCTAACAACGATTTTTTACGTTTTTACCAATTAGAAAATATTGTTTCAGAAATGTTAAAATATCCGAGTTAACTAAAAAGCGAAGTTGCTATTCACAACAAACAAAAAGCATTGTGTACGCGCGACCGACAAAAAGGGAGATATTCTGTTTCTTTTTTCTACTGATATGGCGCCCTTATCGACTTTAGAAGTAAATATATTAGGGCGTAAAAAAAGATTGTCAGACACTGGCTCTAAATATAAACAGGTAGAAAGTTTAGCTTCCAGTTATTTCAATGTTTACAATATAACGAAGAATCTACAACAGTAATTACTTCTATTTTTATGAATGTTTAAGTTGCTTTCTTAATTTTTTTTCAAAATAATGTACCTAGTAGAAATATAGTCTAATGAACCCTGTTTGAAAAACGTTAAATTAAATATCATATTTAAAATACAGTTGTCCTCCTTTTACATGACTACAATACAACTAAAAAAACGAATTTAATAAAAAAAACAAGTGGTTGTAGAAAAACTTGAAATATTATTTTTTTTATTTTTTAAACATCCAAACTCAAAGGTATATTAACAAGTATCATACCAACCATAAATAGAGTAGGTATGTCATATAAAAATGTTTTTACTAGAATCGACACTTGATAAAAAAAGGGATTAGATTTAAGTTTACCTCTGATCCTGTCTGTATACTATTTCTTTGGATTTTCTGCACGTGTGCAAAAACTACACTAAAACACTATATCTTATAGAAAATAAAATATTGTGCCTTGAATTTGAGGGATTTCATCTGAAAAATTATTAATTTGGAAGAAAACCGGCAACAAGCGACAGAAAATAATAATATTTCCGTGCAGTCTTCTGGTAACGTCCCAACGACCAACGGACGGCCAGGACGTTAGTGTGCGCTATATCATTTGATTTAATGGTTTTAGAGGTAGCTGCGGCCTGGCCGGCGCGACCTGGTCGTCAGTGTGTTTGAGCCCTAAGGGATAAAATTCTAATTCACATTAACACTTGACCTGCGACGTTGCCTTTGGTATGTCTGAAAATTCCTGTGAAAAACCGAACACAGTTCAGGGCATGACTTATCCAAGAATTTTATGAAAATGATTCACAGAAATACATGGTGTCCCTGGCTGATCGTTAGAAGTTTCTTGGGAACTACAAAATCTAGATCGGAAATTTTTTGTACATCACTGTTTCACAACGAGATCTATTGATTAAACATATTTTGAATATGGCGGCCTGAAAACTACATCGTGAAAGTGCGGGGAAGGGCGCGGGGGATTTTTTTGGCGTTTCCTATTGTCTCATTTAATTTCGTTTCGTTTTGAACTGTTTCCACAACGTAGCGCTATCTGTACCCGAGGCAAAGGACTTTTTTTTCAAAAAAATTAATAATGTAAGACAATGATTAAAACTAAATATTTTTGTGTAACCTTAGAGGAATAGCCAATTTAATTTACCATCGGCTATTTTCTAAATGTACTGTTTTTGCACTTCAAAAGGTTGCGTTTAAACATAACCTAAAAATCTCTTTCTATATTTTCTAGTTCTTTTGCCTCTCAGTTTCCCTTGTGATGTGGCGTTTTTTTTACAAGACGCAAAAAATGTAGTGAATACTAAATAAAAATGTATTAATATTTTAATTCTTATATTTATATATTAGTTTAAATTATTACTTTTAATTAGAGTTAGGAGTTAGAACCTTTGGTGTTACAACAGAAAAAAAAACCCTAATTCACCACAATACATCAAATACTTTACTTGTAACACTGGACTCGTGTTTTGGTAACCATGTCAGCTTCATCAGCAGATAAAACTTTAATCATGATTAATTGATTATTGTGGCGATTAGTGTTTTATTTTGCTCCTCATTTTTTATTATATATATCTTCTATCTGTTTGTTATTTAGCCTTACAAGTTTGTAGTAGGAATTAGATATTTGTATAGAGGTATTTAAAAACTTAAATATAACGTTTATAAATCTGGCTTAAACTTTATTAGATATTTCTCCTAAACTCCCTAAACTGAAATTTTTGAACTAATTTAAATTAGGCAAAGAAAATAAAGTCCCTTTACTCGGGGTGCCGTCAAGGAAAAGAAGGCAATAAAAAAGCAAACGATCTAGCTAGAAGAAGAGCAAACAGTCCATTAACTGGACCAGAACCGTTCTGCTTCCCAAGTGGAAACCAACTTAAAAAGGAACTCAACCAGAGCTGCAACAAGTCAGCTTTAAAAAGACTTAATCAATAATAAATATGTAAAACATAAAAATAAATATGTAAAAATTAAAAAAAAACAATTAAAAAAGTCGCCTTGACTAGGATTCGAACCTGCCTTACTACGGCTCCAGCGTCATAGCAGCGTAAAGTCCTAACGCTTTAAACCACGCGGCCACCGAGGACTTGAAAGATTCTATGTAAAATTCTTACTTAAAAGATAATGTTTAGTGAAGGGACTTTTTTATTTATAAACATTTATTTAATTCTGTTTTTAGTATTTGTTCTTATAGCGGCAACATAGATACATTATCTGTAAAAATTTCAACTGTCTAGCTATAACGGTTCATAAGATAGACTTTTGTCTATCTTTGTTTTTTTGTGACAGACGGACGGACAGCGAAGTCTTAGTAATAGGGTTCCCGTTTTTACCCTTTGGGTACGGAACACTAAAAAGGATGATGTGTTTTGATCACTATGTAATATATCAATGGGATGCTAAAGGCTGGAGGATTTTAAGGTACTCTTCAATTATAAACCTAAAACTGTTAATCAATAAAACTAGTACTGTATTTTTATTTTTCTACTTGCTATATTAAAATTCCTTAGTATTTTTAGTTGATCCCTCGTTTACGGCCAGCGTTCTGACTGATAAAATAGCACTGGTAAACGTACAAAATTTTTGTCACCTCGAAGGGTCACGGTCGAAGTCAAAATAACAATAGAATTCCTTAGAGTGGATCAACTGATATATTTATATTCTTTAAACTGTGATTGTAGGTTTTGAGGACCAGGAGAAGGGGAACAGGGAGTTTAAACCAGCTCGGATGTTGTTATGGTAAGTGGTATCTTTACCGTAACAGTCTGTTGTCGATGACAAAAACTACGACTGACTACGACACTCACAAAACATATACACAAGAAGAAGTGCTAGCGCCTTGCTAAATATTGGAAAGTGAAATTGACGTTTAAATTTGACACTGTTGACAAGTCTACTGCTACTAGCGCCCCCAATATTGCTTGTAGGAACTACGGACTAGACTGTCACGCATGGCGGGAAGTTTAAAAAAATAAAAAAAAATAATTCTTCATTTATTTTTAATTATGACATACATAAAAGCACAAAAAATACACCATTTTTTAAAAATATGTTTAATATCAATATCAAATATACAACAGAAATTAATTTCACCACAATAAATTAATAAAATTGAAAGAATAATGTTACAAGTAGATCGAGAGACAAAATTAATTATAACAAAACTGAAAGAAATGGCGTCATAGATGGTTTAGAAATGAAGATATATATCATAATTTTGAAAGTAAAATTATATGGGAAATGTCATCGATCATCATTTTTAAGCCAACTGGACGATTATTTCAAACATACAAGCTGAGTTCGTTCATAGTGCTCTGAGAAATCTAGATAAACAAAGAATAATAAATTAAAAGTATTCCAGGGGAAAAGAGGAAAAACCTGTATCGTCTCTCTGATATCTGTCAGGGGTATTGTTGAGTGTCAACTTTTTTTCGAAGTTTTTTAGGTCGATCAAAAATGACATTTACAACAATACTTTGCCGTAATCACAAATATCAGAGAGAGTACAGGTATTGCCTCTCTTTTTCTCTGGGATGCTTTATATCTGTTGTTCTTTGGTTACCTATATTTCTCAGAGCATAATGCCGAACACGACTACAGTATATAATAATTTCAATATCCTAAGTGGAAGATCACCTTTCTGTTTTGTACTATAGCCCCTTTCTTCCGATGGCTCATCTCGTTGAT